ACAGTTCCTCATGTTGTGGTGACCCCCAACCGTAAAGTTATTTTTGTTGCTACTTCATCACTGTCATTTTGCTACTGTTATGAATTGGGCGCCCCCTGTCAAAGGGTCGTTTGACCCCCAAAGGGGTCGCAACCCACAGGTTGAGAACCGCTGCTCTAAGAGAAGGCAGAAATACTCCCAGAGGGTCTCCAAGGCTACGTATCTGGAGGGAAGCCACCTGCCTCATCTTTCTCCCTCAGAGTGGCTGATGGCTTTGAACGGCTGACTTTATGGTTCAGAGCGCTTTAGCCACTGCACCACCAGGGCTCCGAGACAAGATGACTGTTCTGTGCAACTGAGGGAAAGCGTGCTTTTCTTGATGTACTTTTTCTTTCTACATCGGGTCTGCAGAAGTATTTGTGCGCCATGGAACTCTAATAATGGATCAGCAAGCTGATTCAGAACAGCGCTGCTGCCTGTTCTTTGTTGCTGGGGGTGGCAGGGAAAGATGTGGTAGCGTGCGGACAGGCAGGCGAATTTTCCAGGGCATCGCGCCCTGGAAGGTCGATTGGAAATTCAAGCTAGTGCCAAGTGTAGTCTGGAGACCTGCATGCCCTGAGGTACTCGCTACTGGTGCCTCAAGGCCTCCCAGGCCACACACCAGCCAAATCTCACTGGCCTTCCACTTGATTTCTGACAGGACAGCGGCGAAAGGCCCTGCAGTGTTTCCAAGGCCGAGTCCTTATGGGAGCACACTGCCACCTCTTTCTCCTGTGGAGCGCCTGGTGGCTGGAAACTGCTGACCCCTGGGTTAGCAGCCACTGTGCTCCCCCAGCTCCTGTGGTTTTGCCTGGTTACCTATAACATCTAGATTGTTCAGGCCTTGTCTTTTCAGCCCCTCCCGCTGCTTCCCTTCCTGTCTGAGGTTGCTGCATTTTTTATCTCAAGGGAAGCCTTTGTTCTCTGGAATTCTCTTCCTCCTGGAATCACACAGGACCAAGCCTCTCAGATCTTCTAGGTTTCGATTCAGCCTGTTGGGATGGGTGAAAATGACTAGGAGGGTTTGCAGTAAGCATTGTGCGATGGGACCTTCATCGGCGCAGGCCCACCAGACACTTCCTCAGCACTTGCTGTGCGGCAGGCACTCCAAAGCCCTTCACGTGTGTCCATTCATTTCATGCCCCCACCCCTGCCCCCACAGTCCTATGAGGTAGAGACTACTATTAACATGCCTGTGTGACAGGGGGAGGAGGGCTAACAGAGACACAGAGATTCCGTCAGGGCAAGGCCAGGCAGCAGTTCCTAAGCTGCAAAGTTGAGAATTGGCACCCAGGCAGTATGCCTGCAAAGTCTGGGCCTGAACTACATACATCGGTACCCTTACACCTCGCTGCCTGCCTTTTAAGATGGGCCTTTTGCACGTGAGCTAAGCACCTTGGTGTTGCATCCAGGACATAGGTGCTTTCCAGGAAAACCAATGGAATGCAAACACAAGAGCAGACCCAAGGTTGGACTTTCAGGGCACATGCATCAAGTTTGTCTTGAGTATAGGTTGCCTACTTGTGGGTTTTGTTTCTTTTTCTCCCTTTGGACACTTGATCATATTCCTTCTTCCTTGATTTGGTGCTCTTGGGCCTGAAATAAGAGCAGCAGAAGAGGAGTGTGGGAGCTTCCTCTTCCTGGGCATCAATGCAGGCTTCCCACTGCTGCTTCCAAGTCAAGAAAGAGTACAGAGAAAGCTACCCCAACATCATAAGAGCCTCAGACACTTCAAGGTGGTTGTACTGCCACTACTGATTTAAAATCTGAATCTGCGAGACTATGTGTTGGTGGTTACAGGAGTCAGCTCAAATCCCAGTTGGACCACTTACCAGTGAGACTTTGGGAAAGTTACTTAAAATCCCGTAGACTTGGGGTTTTTTTGCCTGTGAAATAGGGGGGATACTAGTAACCTACGTCATAAGTAAACTCTTCGATGGGGCTTCAAGGAGTGCATGCACAAACTTGGTACAAAGTCAGTACTCATAAACATAGTAGCTACCTCCTTGCTAACTTTTCAGCTGGGTCTGCTACCAAGATGGTCAATTGACAACAGGCCGTCTTTTTAATTGACTTGGACAGATCCTTGGCACAAATAGACAGCAAGACAGGATTTTGTATCATGGCAAACAAACAGGAGAGGAACTAACTTTGTCACAATCAAAAAATCTTTTTATTTTAATGATTGTAGTTAAATATTTAAGGAGGCCTCGTGGCGACATAAATAGGAGCGCTGGTGACATAGTAGTCACATGTTAGGCTGCGATCTGCAGGCCAGCAGTTCAAAACCACCAGCCACTCCCCTGGAGAGAGATGAAGCTTTCTGCTCCTATAAAGAATGACAGTCTCAGAAAGCCACAGTGGCAGTTCTCGCCTGTCCTATAGAGTTGCCATGAGTCAGAATTGACTGGGTGGCAGCAAGTTTGGTTTGGAAGTGGGGCTGCGAGGCAAGCAGCAAGTGTTAGGCTGCTAACCTCAAGGTTGGTAGTTCAAACAGATCAGCCGCTCCACAAGAGAAAGACGAAGCTGTCTGCATCCGCTGAGAGAAACTAAGAGTTTCTACGAGTCTGAATCGACTCGATGGCAGTGGGGTCTATGGCTCAGGAGTGAGGGCAGCTCAGTGATGGAATTCTCTCCTTTGATGCAAGAGACCTGAGTTCGGTTCCTGCCATTCACCTCCATGCCAAGCCACCACCTGTCTGTCAAGGGAAGCTCGAACATTGCTATGAATAGATTTCAGTGGAGCTTTCCTGGTCCACAAGATAAAAAGGCTTGGAGCTCCACTTCCAGAAATCAACCAATGAAAACCCTCCAGATCACAAGGGTTTGACCCTGTGGTGCACAGGACCACCAAGTCTGGTAATACTCAAAGACGGGGAACAACAACTTCATTAAGGATCGAAGAATTACTTCATGAGTAAAGTCTCTTAAAGCCAGGGCAAATACACAGAATAACAATTCAAAACTCTTACATTTACTTGGTTCTTGCTATAATGTAATAGACAAAAATAGAGTGCATGTCTGTGAACAAATAATATATATTAACATGCCTCTAAATCTAGTGAGATGTTTTATGCTTTCATTTCTATATCTAAAACCTAAAGCCCATAGCAATGAGATAAATTGTAAATGGCTGCAAATCCAATACTCTAGTCCCAAATTTTGGCATCTAGTGGAATGCAGACTCCCAGACTCCACTCCAGTAAATCAGATCAGGATGTCTGAGGTGGGGACCAGAGGTATGAATGAGTAACTCGCCTTTCCAGGTGAGTTAGCTGTAGGTGGTCCGAAGACAGTACTAAATGTTCCCACCCTAATGTTCTTTGTCCAGGGTCAGAGCATCAAAGAATCTAAGGTTGAGCTTGAGAGTTTTAGGGAAGCCCTAGCGGTGGTAGGGCACACATACCAGGGCACTGGAGCTCTATAGTAAACTGAGTCATAGCCACCCTCTTGAGCGGGAAGGATCTGAGGCTTTAGATGAAATTAGTCCAAGGTTATGATAAAGGGCAGAGCTGAGTTTAGTATCTATGTCTTCAAATATAGACACCCTTCCCACAATTTTAGAATCTGTCCCAGATAAGAATTTTGATGATCCCCACCCTTGTCAGGACTTATATATATATACTACCCACCCTGCCAAAAAAACCCAAATGATATTACAAGAGGTGGCTCAAAGGTCGTCAGTGCAAACAAAGTAGTGCACTTTCAACACTACTTGGTACTTTCTAGGACCCTCTTTGTAGGAGAGGTACTGGTTCATAGGTCTCTAAGTCTGGGCCATACCCCTTTTATAATATTACCACAATGGTCAATGAGTTGTTCGAACGTTTAGAGTGGGATGTTTTTAATTTAGGAAGGTGAGAGATCTTTGGCCTGGAATACTCTGGTTAAAGTCCCCAAGCCCTCCCCTTACTTTGGGATCTGAACCTGAGCAGAAAGTAGCAGAAAAATTGAAGTTACGTACAAGCCCTTCTTTCCCAAGCTTTCCCATGATTCTTCCTTGCTCACTGCCTTTAAAATCCTTCTTTGTATTACATTAGGGAAAGAAAATATAAAAATGAAATAAAAGAATTCAAATCTGGCTTAGTCCCTCAAACAGTTTCTCCATCGACCACGTACATAGTCTACACCGAGAGAGGAACTGAAAGTGGGAGAGTTGATTCCCATAGGGTTTCACCTGGGAGATGGGAGCAGTCAATCTCAGATGGAGAGCTCAAGTTTCAGTCCCTAGACCCTTACACCTTGGTGTACTCAACTGAAGAGATCCATCACATCTGTGGTGTGGCCATGGTGACATAATGCTCAATAAAGTGGCTTCTACTCTTCAAATAAAAAGTTCACAACAGAACAAGTCATGGTTCTCCCTGAAGGCAGCCACAGCCTTGGCAGAGCTGCTCTGAATGGGAGGGTTTGCTGAGGGGCTGGGTGCAAGGTGTCTAGTTTGTCCATCATTCTCCCCAGCGCCAGCCAGCCAACCAACCAACCAACCAACCAACCAACCAACCAACCAACCAACCAACCAACAGACCAACCCACCCAGCCCTCCAACAGAAAAGCAAAAAGAAAAACAAAAACTCTGCTTACGATGGTTACTCACACCAGCTTTGGTGTTCTACAAAAACTGTTCTTGCTCATAACCTGAGAGGCATACCGCCAAGTGACTCTCACTCACCCTTCTTGGTTTCCAAAACTTTGGGCTTTGCATACACCCAAATAAAGGATAGCCTGAGGCTACCTTTGTCATAATTCCCTTCAGCCTATCATACACTGGGCTGAATTTGGGAGACCCAAGGAAGCTACAGTCCAGACGCTCTGAAGTTCTTTAGGGAAAGTGAGGGGTTTGGGCGGCTCTGGTGGGGATTGGCACACACACACACACACACACACACAGGAGCATGCAGGAGCTGCCGCCTTCCAGCAAAGTTATTAGAATACCCCAAGCGCTGCAAATCAAAGAACTTGGAAACCAAGCCAGGACTTACCGCCAAGGTGCTTGGGGCCAAGAACACCACTGTCATCGTCCCCAGCAGCAGCCACCTGGATGGGAGAGAAAGAGTTCTGTGAACACGCTCTGGAGTCTTGTCAATCCCTAAAAGTTCCACAGGAACAGTCCCTGCGAGGGATCCACAAAGTGAAAGGCATTTAGAGCGTCTCTTACCGCCACAGGGCCCGGCAGGGCGCAGAATCCTGGTCTGGACCCATGCTCTCAATTCAGCCTCTCTGGGCTCGGGGTTCCTCTTAGCCTAGAAGTCAAAAGACAAAGGGGATTAAGTACGGGCGTGAGAAGGTCCAGCATCCCTACGGCCCCTGTCCATCTGGGATGCTCTGTCCATCTGGGATGCCCGTGGAGTGCGAGCTGCACTTCCACCTCTGCCTTTCAGGAATGACTTTAGATGTGCCTCACGATTCCACAGGGCGAAAACCAACAACGCAAACACAGGAGGGTGAGCCCTTCCACTCGGGCACAGGAGTTCCTTTCCGCGGAGTCAGCTCGATCCCCTTTCCCCGGCCGCCCCGGCTCCCCCGTCCCCACGAGAGGAGGGTGCAGCCTTCCCCAAACTTGGGCCCGGGCCTCACACTCACCCGACCGGGCTTCAGAGGCTGCTGCCCACGCGCAACTCCCTCTCCAGAACCGAGTCTCGGAGCCCGAGCCGCCAGCCGGGGGCCGGGGCGCACACACCCAGCGCGGGCGGCCGCTCTCCCCACCCCCTCTGCCCGGCCCGCGTCCGCTCGGCCCTCCCCGCCCGGCCCGGCGGTCCGGAGCGAGCGAGCGGGCGCTGCGCTCGGTGCGCGCCCCCCGGCAGCGGCTAGCTGGGCGGCGCTGGAGTGTCGGGGCGCGCGGGGAGCCGCGGGGAGAGGCCCGGCGCCTGGACTTCCTGGCTCGCAGCGGCAGCTCCTGCCCCGGCCCGCGCGCTCCCTCGCCCTCTTACACGCGTCGCAGGGTCCTCCCCCTCGCAACGCCTCCCGCGCGCTGCCGCCGAGGGGAGGGGGCAGCGCCAACAAATTGGGGGAGCGCGGCCACCGGCGTCAAGTCTGCCACTCCGCGCCGCCGCTCTCCGGACGACGCGCAGCGCCCGCGCGCCGCCTCTCCGGGAGGGACTCGCCCGCGGCTCCCGCAGCGCCTCGCCCGCGGCTCGGGCGCCGCGCTCTGAGCTCCCCGCCCGCCGCCCGCCGCCCCGGGACGCGGGACCATGGCGCTCCGGCTCAGCGTCCGGCGGCTGCTGCTGCTGCTGCTCGCCGGCCTGCTGCTCCACGAGGAGCGCAGCCGAGTGGCTGCGAAGGTGAGTGCCTGGCCTGCGCCCGCTCCCCGCGCTGCCCTCCCTCCGGCCGGGCCGGCTCGGCTCCGCGCAGCCCCTTTGTCCCGGCCCCGAGCCGCCGGACGGGCTGACCCTCCGGGGTCGCGCCTGGCCAGCGTGCAAGGCGGAGCAAGGTGCATTTCTGCGGGGAGCTCCCCGGTGTGGATCTCCGTGGGCTGCGCTCGCGCATCCATTACAGAGCCTCCTTTGTTGTAGGTTGGGGAAGGGGATCGTTAGGAGAACTCTTTCAGGGGCCCGGGGCAGTGAGGAGGCAGCTCAGCGCGCACAGTGGAAGAAGGGGAGGGTGCTTCGCACTAGAGTGGGACTTGAACCAGCTTCGCTGGGGCGCTCAACGCCGGGCTGTATTCACCTGGATGCCCGAGTGGGTCTGGGACTGAGCTGCGTGGACATGCGCACCCCATGCGACTCCCAGCCGCACACACACACATGTGCTGGTGAGTTGCTTTGGGCGTGTTTCTTTCGTTCTTTGGAGACTGCTGGTTGATGCTGGAACCAGTTTTGGGCCATTTGCCTGGAAACAGCTGTAACTTTGCTTTCCCACGACTTTTCTGTTGCTACAGCAGGCTCAAGAACAGAAGTGGAGCTCCCCTTCCCTGCAGTTTCTGAAAACGACCATGTTCTATTTATTGCCCTTTATCAATATGTGTGGATATATGCATAGGTATTGCAACCACTCTTATATTTGAAACCAAAATGAAACTACACCTCATTGTTCTGTGTACAAATTGTTTTCCTAGTTTTCATTTCCTCTGGCTGTGTGACTGCCCAGGAAGACTTTGCAGGAAAGCATGCTCCAGCTCTGATAGGTTTTTGATGTTGCCTGCGGTGCTTTCTCTCTCTCTCTCTCTCTCTCCCTTCCTCCCTTTTTCCCTTCCTTCCCCTGAGAATTATGGTCCCAGCAGTCACCTACCTAGTGTCATGGGCCATGCAGTTCTAAAGCCCCTGAAGGTGTGGCTTCTACACTCATGTTGCATTCCCCACCCCATCAAATGGCAAAGAGGATTTTGCTCCTTGTCAGAGTTCCCACGCCTACTCAATTACTGTTTAAAATGTTAATCTTGGGAGTTTACTTTTTTAAAAATTCCCTTCCAGAGGATGGATACTCCTCAAAACCACTTAACTGTATACAAAATAACTGTTCCGTGCCAGAATAAACTGGTCACACACACATCCCCTAGTTGAGACTCGGAGACTCCCTTTCCTCACCCACAGCTCCTTCACTGCCCAGCAATCCACTTCCGATTTTTCTCCTAGTTCAGAGTCTAGCCAAGTACCATAGCCAGTTATTTTAACACTCTTTGTTAATGATGACAAAATACTTCCAAAAGAGTAGGCTTGAGAACATTTTTTTTGGTCTAGAACTATTGACCCAAAGATTTAACTTTTGAAAAGGGATATGCTCCTCCCAATGCCAAGGCAAATCACTGAAAGTTCTCTATTTGGAAATATGAACCTTTATTTGGACTGAGATTTTCTGATTGATAATGTTAGCAAAGCAAAACTAATGGCAAAGACTGGCTTTTTTGAAAGGCCGGGACTTTAAAACATGAGCCACTCATTTATAAATGTGAGCTTCTGCTCTCCGTCCCCCCCCCAGCCCCACCCCACCTGGGAAATCAGCTCATTTTTTGTGCTTGCGGATCCTTTTAGTCATTCCCTAAAGCCAGGGTACATTCCTGCTCACTCGCCCTGCCTTATGCCAGAGGCATTTTTGGAGGTCTAGCCTCTTAGCACCCTCTGGTCACCAGTTCACCATACAGATATTAATCATTACGTCATACTAGGAAGAGCCTTCTAAATGTGCCATGGGAAATGAAGTGCAAAGAGAATGGAACTTCCGCAAATTTGTTGAAGGCCCTTCATATTTTTTCCTGACTTATTTATACAGAGAGGAAGAATATTAATATCCACATGACTTAGGGGTGTGCAAGAAAAATACATTTTAGAAATAATTTGGGTACCTCTCAAAGTTTCTCTCCAGCAAATTGTTGGAGTTGCTCTCATTCTCATGCCCTCAATTACAGTTTTGCTCGCCTCCTTCCAAAATCAGCTCTCAGGTGTGCCAGCGAGTTGAAATCGCTGCAGTGCATGAACTGGAACACAATATGTATGGATACTGTTGAGCGCAAACCTGAGGATCGGCTATGTAAACTTTCACCCAGCTCACAATTAAAAAAAGAATATTTGTTTGAAGTTGAAATAACTTTAATATTGAGACAATCAAAAATCTTCTTTTATAGATATGTTTTAATGGCTAAAGGGCTGCAAATCCATCAAACCCCAACTCAGAACTCAATATGAATGAATGGCTCTTGGGTCATCTGCCCTTTTGAATTCTGGGAATGACCATTTACCTTCATTCGCACACCCAAGCATCACCGACTGTGTGCTCGGATTTAATTACTCTTTGTTCCCCCCCCCCATTAAATGAAATTTGATTACATCTTTGACCACATATGTTATGTTCAAAGACCTGTTTATGTACATGTGCCTGGATTTTCTAGACCAGTGAACATTTTCCATTCGGCCCCTACCAACCCTCTGCCTTAAACTAGAAAACAGGAATATGAAGGTTAGATCTAAGACAAAATGTGTCCCTGGGGTGGGGGTGTGGCGGCGGTGTGGGCTAGACATTGGGCTGCTACTGCAAGGCTGGTTGGCTGGTCCAGCCCGCCCACCGCTCCCATAAAGATTTGCAGGCTCAGTCTAAAACGCTACTCAGCGGCAGAGCCTTTTTTTTTGTAGTTGTTCAGTATTATCCTTAGCAACCTCTGTTCTCAGTCATGTAGTTATACTGACTGAATGAATTGTTTGTCAGCAACCTTTGACTCCTCCCCCAGCTGGCTCCGTTGGCCTACGTCTTGACAAATTATTTCTGAAGACCAGAAATGTGAGCTGTCCCTTAAGTATGATAGTGCTTGCATAGAACGGGTGGCTTCTCCTGACCATTAGTCACCTCTCCTGGCACTGAATGACTTCGGGCTCAAGTTAAATGAGATTTAATTTCCTTACAAATCTGAACCGCATTATTCTGGAAACATAATTCAAATGAGCATGTCGATTGCTATTACAGGCCCAGCAATAATGGCAGCTCCAAATTTCAGGAGTGATACTGGGGACGGTATAATACCGACCATTAAAAAAGAAAGACAGAATCCACTACTGAGTTGATTCCGATTCATAGCAACCCTGCCAGGGCGTCTGAGGCTATTATAGGAGCAGAGAGCCTCATCTTTTCCCCATGGAGCCGAGGGTGGGTTTGAACCACTGACCGTATAGTTAGCAGTCCAAGGCTTACGAGACAGCACCACCAGAATGCCTTAATACCAACCATAGTGTTCTTTATATATGGGATTGGACTAGGGTGAAAGGATGCTACTCTAATAATGCCCCACAGTAATAATCATGTACACAAATGATGTATATGATGGAGTTCCTCACAGAATTATGAATGATAAAAAATTAATCACACCCTCACAATGTATGTGATTTAGGGCCAAGAAGATTCTAAATCTTACATCTGCTTCAATTTAGCAGATGACCTTGAGTTCAGTGATGGCTCTGTCCCCATTTCCTTGTTGGATCTGCTCCTTCCTTACAGGGATCTGTCCATTCCCTCCTTCCCTCCTACGTTCCACACATGCAGGCTGAGTTCCATCCCCTTCAAGCCATGCTCTCTGTTAGGCACTGGGAATGCCACCGTGAGTGAGAACCCATTCTCTGTCCTCACAAAAGTCATAATCCGGTAAGAGATAACTGAGCAAGAGGCAGGAAAATACAACCCAGGCTGGTCAATGCTGACTCAAGACAAACCAAAGACCTTAGGTGACCCCAGCAGGCTCTGCCAAACGGAGAGGAACCTCCTCAGAGGATGATCCACCTCTGCAATCCAAAGAAGAAACAGGATTACAAACCCAGAGCATTAGTTTGTATACATTATTAGGATGCCTTTATAGGCAGAAGGACCCCTGGTGCCTCTAGGAGTAAGAACCTGGCTGCCAGCCAAAAGGCTAGTGGTTCCAGCCAGCGGTTCCATGGGAGAAAAGGCCTGACATGCTTAAGAAACTCTCTGTGGGCCGTTTTCCTTTGTCCATTAGGGTCTCTGTAAATTGAAATCCACTCAATGGCACACAGGAGTAGCAACATTCTAGGCAGAACTGGGATTTTAGCTGTCCTTTCCCAAGTTCAGGGGTCTTTGCTTTAAAGGTGGCCCCATAGAAACTCCTTTGTGATGCCAAGATGTCATCATCTATATTATGCACAATTTGGGGAGCTGCCTTTTGATCTCAGAGGGGTAGAAAGAAACTGGACGACTGCTAACAGAAATGCTGTGAGAAGCATGTAGCATATAGGATCCGCTCTTCGGAGGCATCTCCTTCCTCCAAGGCTGCAGGCATATTTGGTGCTGTTTGCAAAGTTCACCCTGGGTGACATGCTCCAGGCACTAGGAACCCATCCAGAAAACCCAGCCTCACTGGACAAGGGCATGAGGGAATTCACCAGTCTACATTATTCATTAACAAGATTGTCGGCAAGTTTCTTGGAACTGGTGAGCATGGCCTTAACAAATGCAGTTATTCAGTTAAGAGCTGGTGGAGACCGTGGAGACAGAGTGCGCCCCAAAGTGACGCGCTTTAAACAGATCCTTTAAGAAATAGGACAGGCATCCCAGAGCGAAGACATGACAAGATTTGTTTGAGGAACTACACAAGGCCTGTCCTAACAATTGTTCCAGAAATTGGAAAAGCATTAACCTCAATAAGATGTCTTTCAGGCAGGTTTGGTATTTTGAGCTCTTGGGCTAGAGTAAGCCAAAGCAACCGCGGAATGCTTGAAATAATAGAATAATAGCATTGTTCTTTCTGCTATTATTAAAAAGCCACTAAAAATGTTAAACAGTACAAATCTAAAACAATACAAAAGACATATTCTCACCATACTTTTGCAAACAATGTAAAAGGCAC